TCCAGGGGCAAAGCTAGGAAACAGTCAACAAAACACCCTTTTACCTCCTCTCTCAATCACCCGACACACACACAGATTAACGCCACCTCTCACTTCGCCACGGTCGAAGCAAACAACTCACTCAAATTCATTGTCAAGCGATCATCCACCCTCGTGTCGATGCCGTCACCGTTCAATCATTCACCTCTCCAGCCTAATTCTATCACCTCTGCTCCCTCTCGCGGGAGCATAGCCTACGCGCGCTGTGTGTAATTACAAGGTGGTTTACTTACCTGAACCATCAAAAGCAACTCGGTTCGGTCAGTAGGAACAATCACTCACTCCATTATCCAATGCCGTAACTTTGAGGGTTTACAAGCAGCTATCACAGAAAGTTAAATAAACTGGACTTCACATTTATGCCATTCACCGATATCGTTATATAGTTATCAAGTCTTTCGGTATACTGTCGAATACTTTCATTCACTCTTTTTCCTACACTATCAGCGTGAGCCAGAGATGTCTACTAGTTGCTCAACTGCTTTCCAGCGCCTTCGCTCTCAGAGACGCGAGGAAACCCTAGACATCCCAAAACCTCGGATGAAAACTCAACAGAACTTATGGTCGCCATGAGGCAGTTATCCCAAGAATGACACCTTATTTGATTGGAGTCAAGTCGTCTGTCTTGCAGGAAAAGTCTGTTCTTTCCTCGTGGTCATCTCGTAGCCTGATCACCTCGTTCGAGTGAATCAGATAGCCCCATCGTCATAGCTGCAATCGTTGTACTAACGTAATGCCAAACTACTATCCCAGTCAGCTAATCAGCGAGTCTCTGCAGTCATCATGACACTCGTGAATGAAAGGCGAAGCGGACCATGGAGTGTCAAGGTATCGTTACATGCAGTCTCCAGACGCCCAATATTCCCTGCCGTCTACTTATTTAAACCCAGCGACCGATAAAAAGCGATAATAGCAAGTTAATAAGCCCAGCATTTTCTGCCTCAGCAAAGATTAGCGCCAATGGTAGGAGATAAATTCTACTAATCCCAATTTATTCACAAATACATGCATGAATTTATTCATTTGCATGAGATCAGGCACCGAACAACTTAATAAGGTTGGAGATACACAAACTATCTTTTCAAACTGAAGCAATGACTCACAGTTGAAGGGCACAAAAGGGTCATCAGCAGCATTCAGACAAAGGATTGGAGCACAGACATGGCTAATTTTGGTGATAGTAGAGGCAGAAGCGTAGTACTCCTTCGCCGACTTGTAGCCAAACATACCAGCGGTGAAATTGTCGTCGAACTCACGGATTGAGCGACTCTAGAAAATGAGCAACGCTGTTTGAGCGAACAATCGCATGCACAAATTCGGAAGGAGTAAGTGCAGGTGGATTTCGACCCAGTAACTACCAAACCTCAACATGCTACGCTGCACAACTTGATGGTAGCAATCGGCAATAATAAAAACCACCTGCGCCTAAATATGCCTATTCACCCAAAGAGTTCCATTTGACTGTCGCAAATCGTCCCTTCGTTTCACGTCAGTTGCTTAGTCGTAAAGTGAACATGCAGCTATGAATGCATATCCAAAGTTCCAAAAACAGGAATGCGCACAAACTTTTTCGATATGACCAACAGACTTAAACAACTCATTTCCTCAATCAGCCAACGTCTAATAATGTGCCATACCGCCTCACACAAGAACCTCTTCGGACTCCCAGCCAACTCTTCTATACATTCCCCTTCACTCCTACGCTTTCCGCCAACATCTCTTCCCTTCCACCTCCACCACATAGGCGATTACCAATCACCATGACACTACCAACATCGTCACAACTTAATCCAATTTGTTCTCACTTCTTTGCCCCTTCACACCCATTAAGCCACATGCTTCGCAATACTCCACGCAACCCCCACTCACTCACATACACACCCATACAATGGAATCAACAATGCACACCTCCACCCACCTTCAGGATGCGTGGAACGTCGTACTCCTTCGATAGTACATCTGCATTTCGCATAACCACCCGACGGAGGCCGTAAGTGAGAGGTTTGTTAAAAAGAAACCAATCCAACGACTTTTCCAATTTGTCCGACGTTTGTAATACATCCCATGGCATGCAGATGCACATTGCAGCGATAAGGGGACAGGCTTTCCTGCAGTCTGCCAGGTAGTTGAAGACAAGGAGGCTAAGGGAACAGGTTTGATAACTGGCTGATTGGTTGGGTAGAAATAAAAGGTTTAATTTGACTCACAATATTCCACTGGATATATATTAATGAATCGAAGAACTTCGCAGCAGAGGTTATAAAGCGAATATAAGAAATTCTCACCCTAATTGTATGCAGGCGGATATGATGAGCCACACAAATCCCCACCATGGATAGGTACATAGGCAGTGTAATGCGGCCCTAACAACCTCGCGTTTGTTTTAGACGATACATAAAGCACAAGATCATTAGGCAGTTTTGAGTGATATGACAAGTTCTTCCTAACTGGCTTAAACCGCTCAACTGGACCGAAATAGTTCCATTTCCTCTGTACCCATCACGCAAATTTCCTCTATTATATATATATATATATATA